TAAATCTTAGAATCAAAAATTACAGTTACTATTAAAACAAAAAACAAACTTAAAATATTAATAATTCTACATTTATTCAAGAATTAACATAAAATTAAAATATTTTATTTACTCTGAGATTTCAATGAGAAAACATTTTTAATAAAATAGATGATAATATGCACTAACTACTAATATAAACATTAACTGATATTCCTATATATAAAAGTTAAAACATGAAAACCTAAAATTATTATTTGAAATTTTTTATACTTTTATAATTTGTATCAATAACATTAACGTTTATCGCGAAATGAGTTCAAATATTGCATCAGGCAAATTTCTTTTTATTCGGAACATGTCTTATGGCACGTATACAGTTTACCTACATGGCCACATGAGTAACGAAATATAGACTAACCTGTTGTAAATATTGCTTGTTCATTGAAACATTATTGAGGCTAAATTTTACAAGCGCACAATACAAGACAAACTTACAAAAATATTCTTTCAGATTGTATTAACGTATTGTAAGTCTTCAATATCACGTGAATTAAGATTTATAATATCTTGGTAAAATTTGTTTAATTCATTTAAATTAAATATCAAATTTATTGTATACTGGATGATCTGTTTAAAATTCAACACTCATTATTTTAATAAACATTGACGTTTTTGAAAATATTTCTTTTACATAATTCTATATTATTACAAACTAATATTTTTGAAAAAAATAATTATATTTTCATTACTTTTTATTGGTATTATTATTATTATTATTATTATTTTTTTTTTTAATGAAAAAATACACTTTTTTGATATAACTCAAAGCGTTTCAATCTACAAAAATCAAATTTAAGGCAATGCGTTTATTAATTATAACTTAAAATACTTAAGAGAACTCATAAATTACTAATCCAAAATTCGATGTTTACACATCAACGTACTCCAAAAAGTATTTTCCTTTGGAATAAGGAAATAAAAATGCATATTTTCATTTAAATTATATATATAACAAATTAAGAAAAAAATATTTTACATTAATAGTTTTTTTCAAGTAATGAATGCTCTATGTTAAATCAATCACCCGGTAAAGTATTTGTAAATAAAACTAACTATGTTAGCAGGTCAAAATGGCTAAATTATCTTTCTCAATTGAAGTTGTAAAAGTCAAAAGCGTTTTAATTTAATTGAATTATTTTATTTTATTACATTAAAATTTATTAACACTAATTTATTGAGAAATTACAATCAAATAATGTGTAAAATGGTATCAGATTTGTGTTATAATAGGTACGTATAGTAATCATTAAAGTTGTAATCAGTATTGTTAGGTTTTTATAATGATGTATTAAATAAGTAAGGTACAAAGGTGTTTGGTGCAGACAATCTCAACAAAGATTATAGATCAGAACAAGCATCACGGTTTCTATTAAAACCCTGTAGCGAGGGTTCATTAAATTTCTGCGTTACACAGATAGAGCACGGATGGTCTGTGCGAAGCACTTGATGAAAATTATGTTTACAAAGGCGTGTTTTTATTAAAATTTAATTAGATGAAGAAAGGATAATGCGTGTAGTGGTTTTCTTTTTACTCGTCATACATCGCGTGTATTCCCAAGCAATTGGATCATCTAAATTTAAAGATAATGCTACGATAGTGTTAAGTATATTGTACATATTATTAGTTGTTTTTTAAATAAACACGTTTTGTGTCATGCGAAATAATTATTTTATATAAATACCCTACGAGTTTCATTAAATTTTACATTACAATCGTGATTAAAATAATTTATGAAAAATGAACAACACTTAAAATAATAAAGTTTATGAGTACTTGAGTGTTGTGGACTATTTTACGATAGTATATGGTAATAAATTATAGGTAAGTATCTATAATCTTTAACAGTAGACTCAAAATTATTAAAAAAATTTTAACAACCTAATAATATGATAATGATATTGGCAGTTCTTAACCTTTTGTAGACCATGGACCCCTGATCAAAGATTTTTAGAAATCACAGATCCCTTTACCAATTTTTTTTCTAATACTTTTCTTTTACAATACGTCACGTATTAGCAGCCATGGACTCCCGGCATGAATATAACGGACCCCCAGGGGGCCGCAGACCACAGGTTAAGAACCACTGGTCTATATATTATCTACATGTTATAATAACATATACATAATAATCTACAAATTAAAATATTATAATATACGAGCTTTTACAATTTTATTGTTTAGAAGTAATAAACTACAAAAATATTATTGGTATTTTTAAAATGAACAAAATTACTATGATCGTAATATCCAAAATTAAAAAAAAAAAAAAACATCATTAAGCCAGTGTATTTTAAAAACATACATAATACATAACTATTTTATACCCTAATAGTATTTCTATACTTCACCTAGACATATAGGTAAATATATGTTTTTACAAAAACAAACCATACACAGTAAATAATAACATATTATGATATCTGTATTGTTTAAATTTTTTTTTTTTAATCACTCATTGGTATTTACCTATTTTAAATAATTTATTAAATCTTAATAAAATAAATATATTAGTTGCATATACATATAAAATTACCTATATGATGTTATTATATAGATAAGTAGTTGAATATATTCTTATATTGTCATATTGTAATAACTAATAAGTTACCATTTGTTTAAATTTATAAAAAGTATAATGTACGTATAGCTACAATATATGATATCCACATATTGAATAATGTTTGACTTTTAAAATAACTGTAGAACTATAAATAAGATCATTTAAAACTGTTATTAAAAATATAGACCTTAAACAATTAGTTATTAAATGAATATAAGGAAACTTAACGAATATTCGTTGATAAAACGTATATTATTTTAACAAACATGCTAATCCTGTATCTAAAAATAATATTGTAATTAGCATTAATATTTAAAATGTTTATTTACTAGGTAATTGGTGTATTGAATAGTGATATTATGAGTACCTATTATCAATATCAGTCATTAGATTACCTTTTGTTCAACTATTAAAAAAAAGTACTAAAAAGATACGATTTCTGGGACCATGGATTATAGATTTAAGATGCTCATCCCAATCCACATTTTTTTTTAATGTGCATAATATTTAAAATAAATTTCAAAAATCAAATTGATGTATATATATATATTATGTATAATTAAATGTTTGTATAACAAAACATTATTGATAAATGGTTTTTGCTCTGTATCAAGAGGTGTATTTAAGTGTATAGGTATGTATAATCTAGGCCAAAATATAAAAAACACATGTAATTTACACAAAAACGAAAAAATAATAAAATAATTATAGTCATGTTAATTAGTGCCATGACAGAAAACGAAATGGCAAATTATTAAATTTACGCTACACTTTCAATTTCAATCGTTAATTTAAAACCTGATAAATTTACCAAATTCATATCAGTTGTATCATGCAAAACATCATGATAGAAAAAGCTAATTTCATCGTTAAATTATCAGTATAAAAAAGCAAGTAAGTAAACTAAATATTATAATCTTATTTTATAAAATGTATTTGTTTTAGATATAAAAAACTTAGATAAATAATATGACTTGAAAAAATCTTTGATTTGTAGATATTATATTATTAGGTAATTGAAGTATTCCACAAGTTACGTATTTAAAATGTAAAATATATATACGTAGGTACTAATAAGTTTAGAAAAGAGCTAATTATTTTAAAATGGTGTAATTACAATTTTGATAAAGTGAAAAATAGCACAAATCACAATTTATGTAACCAAGTAGCTAAAAGATTGAGCAGATTACATTATATCCATTCATCTTAAGTTATTTAAACTACAACCTTAAAATGTGGCATAAATTACCAAAATGAATTTTTAATGTGGTACAAATTAATTTTTTTCTTTTGTTAATTTTGGCAAACTACATAATATGATTATTAAATGAAAAGTTACAGTACATTGATATTTATTAACAATATAGTACTAATTAATTAAAATAAAAGTCTATAATATATATTATTTTTATTATGACAATTTATTAACTGAATTGTTATTGGTTTTAAAATATTCATATAATATTAATAATTAATTACATACATATTTTTCTTATCTTATTAATTATTATACTTTTAAGCGATATAAAACAATATATAAGTATACGAGTATAGGAATAACCATGAACCTATACCATAATAATCAAACATTTTTTGTAAGAAATGGGGAGAAGGATTTGAATTTGTAAATTGAGAGGGGCCCATTAAAATATTTTAGTATTTTGAGACTCAGCGAATCTTTAATTTTCAAGCTTGCTTCTGTTTCAAATATTTATGTATATGATAATATCGTAGTATATTGTTGATATTTTTAAATATTGTTCAAATTTATTCTTGAAACGATTAGAATATGTCTGAATACTATTTTATATCGAAAGACAATCTCAACTCCACCATTTTGCATAATAATAATAAATAATAATAGGTAGATTAAAATGTTAAACAGATCTAAAAATAGATTTCTTAAAATCAATTTTTATTAATTTATTTTTATGTGATACAAAGAATTATATTTTAAGTATTTTGATACTATAATATTTGTAATAATAATTTAGGTGGATTGCTAAACGTAAATATGTGTACCTACCTACGTTACGGTAAATTTTCAATTCATCAGTGTTCACATTTTTCTTTATATATTATGGCTTTAATAATTTTTACTGAGAATCTTATAACGAGAGAAGCTTTTTGAACACCCTCCTCTCATAAAGCCAGCCCACCCGTTTACCGACTAATTGCTGACAATCCTAACTTGTTTAATATATAATACTTAAATCTCCGTTTTCCCTCCAGCCAGGGATGAAGGGTTCCAGTATGGCTACCACCAAGCCAATACGAAAGGGCTGGCAACGATCAATGCAGCCAATGGGAGGCGTCGATGGGACGGTCCTTTAGGGTGACAAAGTAACACATAATGCCTGCGCGTTTACGAATTTTGGTGTAGTAAATCGCGAACAATTTGCCTGTCAAGATTCTAGGAAACGCAACGTCATTTATGTTATAGATAGTTTAAATAATCAAGCCAAATAAAATGCCAGAAAACCAGAGGAAATCGTCTCCTGGACACTCCACATCATTTTTAATTGAGGATATATTATTCAGATCAAAGAACAACAGACCAAATTCTGAGGTATTTTATCATTATTAAACATAAAATGTAAATTCAAAACTGAACATATTAATTTAAAATGTTTCCATCTTATCTAAGCATTAACCAACCAACACCATATTATAGAATATTTTTTTTAATTTTAAATAAATATTTTAAATACTTTCCATGTACCTAAATATTTCATAAAGCTTCACAATTGTACGATAATTAAAATCAGTTTGATTAATAATTTGACCATTTTTTTTATAAAATTATAGTAATTTATAGTATATATTTAATTTCAGATTTTTTAGAATACATTGCTAATTATACTAAATTATACAATACGCATGAAATAATTTAAAACATTTAGATGTTTTAATTATATTTCAAAACTACGTCCTGTGAGGTCCTATGATGATTGGGGGGTTGTATTCTATGGAAAAAATAATAATTAAGATTTCAAATAATGTTAATGCTACTTGATTTATTTCGATGATAGTGACCAGAATACTGCAGATAACCACTGTACACTATACGATGATGCAAGGATCAAACATTATACGCTAATTTATTCATCTAAAATGTATTTAATAATTTAGTATAATAAATTTTAATACGTATAAATTTATTTAAAAATGTAAAAATATACAAAATTGATGTTTTAAAATTTTACACTCTGAGGACACAAACAATCAACTCTGCTATAAAAATCTATGGACAAAAATAAAAATAAAAAAATGCTTTTCTTCTAAAATCATCGCTTTGCTTAAGAAAACATAGCTAAAGGTACATAACTAATATAATTAGGTATCAGCAAAATTAAATTGTATTTAATGAAATACTACAGTAGTGTATTATGTGTTTTGTACTACAGTTAATAATTTGAATTGACTATAGTTCATACTTTAGGAAGTACCTATCTCACTAAAAAAAAATTGTAAATTCCTTTGATTTAAAAAATAATAAAAAATGAGTTTTATTCTATGAAATTTCTATAAATATATACATATTATATTGTGTCATGTTTACACTTACATTGATAAATGACTAAGATTTCAAATTATAAATTACTATCTAATAAAACTTTGTTTTCCGTTAGAAACGACGACACCGCTGGAATGCTTCCCACAGTACGCGTCCATACTAATAATACTCAAACATTTACAATAATTATGATAATTAAATAATATTTATTTATTTTTATAATTAAAATGATGTAATTATTATGAGTTATAAATACGCTTTTATATGCATTACACGCTTTTGATAAAAATCGATCTTTCTTTTTTATGTATACATATACATTTAAAGTGAATAAATTCTTTGAGATTATTATTTTCAATTATTAATATTCAATGATAAATGATTACGTTAACTATTGTTATAAGTAATAAATTCAATTAAAATTTTTAATCTAAATATATTGTGTTTATAAAGATTTATTTATACTTAAATATTACTTTTTTCACTTATATATATTCATTGAATCTGTCGCATACTATTTGTGAATCAACGAAATTTAATAATTAATAATAATTTAAAATATATTATAAACCTAATAATAATGTAGCTAAACTGAATTAATGACATTAAATAAACTTATTTTAAATTTTAAATTTATTCATTCTGATCCTATAAATCAGCGGTTCTTAACCTTTTTTTCGTCCCGTACCCCTAAGTTTAATATTTTGCTAGATTGTATCCCTCATTATAATTTTTAAACTTTTTCACATAACTACTTTTAAAATATTTAAATAAAAAAAATAACAAAAAAAAAAATTCTATGTCACATTCTATACTCCTTATCTATTAGATAAGTTGACGGTTAAGTTTTAATTTATGACACAAATTTTCATTTTTAATAACATATCATGAATATTTTGAAATTAATTGTTTTAAATAAACATATTCAACATTTTTCGCCATTAGTCAATTAGTCAATTTTTTTTCATGTACCCCTTGAGGTACGCGTACCCTAAGTTAAGAACCGTTGCTATATAAAAAAAAAAAAAAACCATAAACAGCTATTTTACATGAATATTTTTTGTAAATGTTAGAAGTGGGTCGTAGAGAGAGAAAAAACTAGTACACTGACATCCTCTTAAGAACACTTTTAAAAAATTGAATACTGTTTTTATTTGTATATCAACATGCTTTTTAATTCTTTGATATAGGCACCTATATTGTGTCACTTGTGATATAAACGATTAGAATAAAAATATACGGGTTTAATTTACACTTGCTCGTGTTAAATTCATTATTTCGAAGTTTTTAAATAAGAGATAAAAAAAGTTTCAGGTAACCAGTCATGAAAGAAATCGAAATCATCAACTGCCGCAAAGTCAAGAATGCTTTCCGATGTTGCCATCAACGGTGGCTTCTGCCTATTTATCATATCCAGCACATTATAATATGCATAAAAATGGTATCGCAGAACCGTTTTTTATTTCACCTCAAGGTAATTATTAATAAAAATTAATATAAGCCCTTATTAGAATATATTTTCTGTAAATATTAGTCAATACAATGAAAGTATATTATGAAATCGTAATATTATAAGGGCCGATATAGAAGATAAGGTATAAAACAAAATACGGTCAAGATATTTAGAGATTTTCCGCATTCTGCTCTTCTTTGCGAGCTAGTAATTCACAACAGTACCTATATTAATTTTAAAAATTGATCGGCTACTACATTTTCATAACCATTTCAACTCTTGAGCTGAGTTTGTATTATTATAATATTTACGTAGAGAAATTTTTAATTTAGTATACGTACAAAAAAAAGTTAATATTTATAAGAAAAAAAATAGGTGATCATTAAATTTAAATAATTAAGTAATTTTGTATTGTATTAAAATAAATATATATTTTTTTTAAAACTAGGGAAGCCGTTCTGCTGTGTTGTAGGTATCGAATGCCTTTCTTCATCGTTGAATATAGTTCACTGTAATGGATTATGATACGTTAAATATTCACAATACATACAAATATTGTGTATAGAAAATTATAACTTAAGTAATATTGGAATGTTTCAAGTTTCAATGGTTAATATTTTTTGATTAACACCAAAATAATAAAAACCCTTTGGAAGTAAATCATTACTATATATTTGAATATCCAACGTCATCAACATTTTAACTTCAATTCCTCATAACTCATAAGAAATATTTGTATAGCTTGAGACTAAACTTTTTTTTAATTATAATAAAAACTTGTGAGAAATCTTATATTAAATCATCAAGCCTTATAAGGACCAAAAATTAAAAATTAAATGAATTTTTAGCTTTCTAGATAAATTTTTTAAGAATATGAACTTTAATCACTTATAAAAAAATATTGTGACTTTACAACGGCGTACAGATAGGGGTTTTGGATGTTCAAAACCCATCCTTCCTTTGTTTTTTTTTAATACTAGTATAGACATGTAAAAATTGTTAAATAATAATGATAGGTATAGGCATATACCTATTAATTTAATCCCTTCTCATTAATAATATCTATGGCCGCCAAAGTGTGACTATATGTTTTTATTATATTTGAACTATAGTAATAATAACTTACGAAGAACTTTGTATGAAAATATCAAGCTTTTTCTCGCAAATAATAGTTTATTATAAATATAAATCAAAAATAAACCAAAAAGTCAAAAATATCTAATACCTTTAGATAGCACAAAAATAGTCAAAATATTTTGAAAATTGTATCACATCTAATAAATAATAATACGAATAATTTTTAAAAGTTTATGCAGTTATTCTTTTTTTGAATTACAAAAAAAATAAGTAATTGAATAATTTATCAAAAATTGATATTGTTTAAATATTCTCATTTTTCTGTATTTTTTTACAGTATTTTCTGTTAATTTTGGAAATTAAATGCTGGTAATTTTTTATTTTTGATAAAAGCAATTTATCCTACCCTCTCCCCCTTTTCAAGTACCAACTAGAACCGATTTTCTAATCATCTTTAACGTTGAACATTAAAGTTTTTTACTTCTTCATAAGGTTTTTTTTATCATATTAATGATTATGATCTTGATTTTTGGAAATTGATTTTATACTCGTATGTTGGTATAAATGTATTATATTTCGGAGTAATATTAATAATACTACATGATTGTTACAATGATTATTATAGGGGTACCTTTTGGAAGTATTTGGGGTGCCCGATCAGACTATGGCCACGGACAACTAAGCTCTAGGCTATGTCGCAGACGAAAAGCTCGGACTGTATTTTCCGATCAACAACTCACCGGACTAGAAAAAAGATTTGAAGTACAACGATATTTAAGCACGCCAGAGAGAGTTGAACTGGCTACTGAACTGAGATTGTCTGAAACACAGGTGAGTCATAACTAATAATTTAACTACATATAATTATAATTAGTAGGTATTTTGTGTTATACTCAACAGTATTAAATCATTTATGTTTAGGTCAAAACATGGTTTCAAAATCGAAGGATGAAACATAAAAAACAATTGAGAAAAGTTAACGATGATACAACGGTCAATGGTTCGGAGAAACTTACAGAGAACACTGCGAACAAATCGCTTACCACAGGTCAGTCTCACATAACAGTTATATATAAGTACAATAATTACGTATGTGTATTAAGTTTATAATCTAAGTTATAAATTGAATATACATTAAAAAAATGATAAATTTCAAATTTCAGATTATCCTGTTGACTTTTCATCTAAAGGATCAGTTTGTGGTGTATTAGATACAGGTATTCAGGAGTCCAAAGATTTAGCTCTACAAAATAGGTCTCTTAACAACGATGATGAGAAAAGTCAACGATACGAACTAAGTGAAGTCTCTGAAATGGACGACGATGATGATGTCGATGGTGCCGACGATGAGATAATAGATATTGTTGGTGATCACTCACACATGCTAAATAGCGTACAGCGAAATTACGAACAACAAAGATTTTTCTAATTATAAGCTAAAAACCTCTTATCTATTATTATTATTATTATTATTATTATTAAACTGTGCACAAAACAGTTAGAAGCCAATCGTATCCATATTTCTTATATAATATTTTAAACATATACCTAATTACTAATTAGGTAGATATATAGATTTATTAATTTAGCTATAGTTTTATATTATAAAATATGTAATGTAAAAAAAAAAAAAAAAAATTGTCTGAAAAATAAGAAAACAAATATTATGTTATCTTTGGTGTTATACACTTCCAATAAAATTGTTTGTCTTCCAATTTTTTTATCTGTCGCTATATTTTAAGTAAACTAACATTATATTTGAATAGCTCAAATGTATAATAAATTTATATTAGGGATTAATTTATTATCATAAGGATAAGTATAATTTAAAAAAAAATAACCAGCAATACATAATATAATATGTTTTGAATAACTTATTCTATTGCATTATTAAATACCTAATTTGTACAACTGAATCATAATATCGTTTAATATTTAATGTTTAAATTATTAATAAGTATATACGTAGGTACTCGTACTCTTTAATATAGTTCAATTAAATGAGAAGTGTTAAAATAAATTTCAAAAACTGATTGGTTATTTTAACATTAAACAAAATATTTTATTTATCAATTATTATTTATCTATACTATGTATTCAAAAATAATTTATAAAAATAGGTAATACCTATATTAAAATATAATTTAAACATAGGTACCAACGTCCGTCGTATAAATAATGATTTTTTTTTAAATTAAAATGTAATCTAAATAAATATTTATAAAATTATTAAAAATACTGGTATGTAATCAAGCCCGGATTAATGGGGGTGCCAAGGAAAGGGCACGGTCCCGGAGCACACTGAATTTGAGAGCCAATCTTTATCTCCAATATAAATATACATTTTTAATGTGTTTAAAAAAGTTTAAAAAAAATTATTTTAATGGGTACAGTAGATAATTATTAGTAATTATAAAATAAAAATGTTCTTAATTTTTTATTACGAAAAATTACTAAATGGTCTAAATGATAATAAATATTAAATTTTTATTTTAATAATTGATAGCGTATAAGTAGTAATAATTGATATTAGGTATTCTTGATCTATTCGCAATAGGTGCCCATATATACCTACCTAATAAAAATAATTGTTCGGCCGAAAGACCATTATCAAAATTATCAAGAATAAAAAATAAATATAAAACAAGCTAAACTAAGAAATATTTAACATCATTAATATTATAATCAGAAAATGATAATTTGCAATTGATCGATTTTAATGAAACTATTTAACAATTTGCAAAAGAAAAATCAAAGAAAAAATTTTAGTTATTATTATTTTTAACAAATACAGTATTTATATATATATATATAAATTTATAATATGTGCATAATAAATTATTACATAACTTTTAATTTATTTATTTATATATAAATTGTTTGTGCTGACAAAATTATACAATATTATACAGTTTTTAAAATGCAGGTAGTGATACAATTTTTTTGAAGTTAAAGTTGAAAGGGGGTCTACTAAGTTTATGGTGTTCTGGGGCCCAATCGATCCTTAATCCGGGCTTGTATGTATCTACTGTTTTAAAGACACACACTTACACTTACATATCTAAATAATCTAAACTTAAAAACCCTTATTTCCACCGTGTCTTTTCATCATTGATTATCAGCGAGAGGGAGGACTTTTCTCATTTTAACGAATTTCGAGGTAATTTTCCGATATGTTTATGTATTATAGACACCGCGACATCCTATTTGTTTAAATGCGATACTATAGAGCACTTATACAGTTATACAAGATACATATATTATTGGCATTTAATTTAAAATCGATAAATTATTGCAATCACAAAATCGCGTATTAGACTTAAGTGTTCTTTTTTTCAAAAAGAAAAAAAAAATGTATTCTCTATATTAAACCGCTATAACAATACACGCTATAAAACATACGTTCTACATATTTTTATGATCGACAATTTTTTTTTTCGCGCTTTAACATGTGTTCATTTATACTCTGATAGTTTTATATTATTATATATTACACAGTGTGTGTGTGTGTGTGTGTGTGTGTGTGTGTGTGTGTGTGTGTGTGCGCGTGCGCGCAATGTGCATTTATGTGTGTGTGTGTATATACATATAGTAAAGAGTGAAATTATTGAGTTATCCCGCCACGAGGGGTTGTTTTTCCGCCCGTTCGTATATTTACCGTCGTCGTCATAATATTATACAGTATACAGCATACATATTGTGCACATACATAAATGAATCGACGGGCGTGGACGACACTAATTTGATTACCTGTACGTGATATTAAATAAAGCATCAATGGCCACGCGCCCGCCTAATAATAATGAAATGCCTACAATATATATTATATTATAACCTTATCCGATGCGGGGGATGGTAAATATATTATACAAAGGTGCAGCCGACGTTTGACTCCAGTCATTTCAATCATTTAACCCTATTATTTGCAATTACTTCTAAATAAAAACACTTAAAACCCTTCACGGAGAGCAATAATAAAGTGCATGCGTTGATTAAAATGTTAAACGACAGCACGATAATCAATTTATTCCCTAAATTTGTATCAATATTTTTCCCCGCGTACAACAATTGAATAATATGTATATACGTAATGTATATATAATTATGTATATAGAGAGTCCACTGTATATTCACTGCGATATACTTGTAAAATTATAGGTACACTAGATACTTAAAGTCTTAAAGGTAAGAAATACACTATAATATTATCATTAGATATTATGTTGTTATCAATTAGTTAATTTCATCTATATGAATAGCGTTTGCTTATTTCGATATTTTAATTTATAAGTAATTTATAATACGACTACCACCTATATATGAGCAGAGAAATATCACAAAATTAAAAATGCTTGTATCTCAATTAGAAATTTAAATATAAAAAAAAAAACCGACGCTTAAGCACAGCTAATGTTTTCATCTTTAAATTTAATAATACAGCTCAATACACTCAAATATTTAAACAATATAATACTATAATAATTCGTTCCGCTAAACTCAAATTTGATATTTTTTACATCCTTTTAAGGTATGGAGACAACGCCCACGCATTATGTATGGATGCCGGATGGATAGTAGCGTCTTCTTAATTTTATAATTACTTCAATCGAATGATTGTATTCAAAAATTAAAATCATGACTAATTTCATTCACTTACCGACACGCAGACTCCAGTTTTTTTTAGTTACTTCGATAATTATCGATTATCATAGTGAACATCAGTATACGTAGGTAGATAATATCATCAATTATTAGTTTTGGTTTGTTTAACTAGTCGATATTGTTTTGTGCAGGTACCTAAACGTAATTATTGTAATTTAATTGTGTAAATCATATTTTATTAATACATATGTATACAAGTATACAACATTACTGAATGTCTACCATAATTCTACAGAAAATTTTAGTATCTAAATAATTATATCAAACCATTATTCTAACCTCACTAAAATATAATTAAACTACAACTACATTTTTGTCACCTATCTATAGGTATGGTTAATATTTTTTTCTGCGCAAACGTAGGGTTAGCTTTTTGTATCCATAAACTTACGCTATTTATTCACTTCTTTCTTTTTATCTTGTTATAAATCTTAAAACTTTTATAATATTTACCGTTAATAATTGCCACGAATTATTATTTTTTGGATTAACCAAGTCCCGAGAGGCCTCAAAACCGCCACGCCGCTGGGGTGGAGTAACAATAGCAACAGCTAGAACCGCGGTTGTACAGGGATCAGAAACGTAGGTCGTTATTCCTATCGGTAACAGTTTTAAACAAGACGGTTTAAAAAAATGTTTTTGACGGTAACGCATCGGCGGTTGGCGATAAGCATGCTGCCGTTTTGGCAGCTACCCGCGCCGTGTTGCACGTCACACAGTGGTCTGAAAAGTGATTTTAGTTTGTCAAAATTCATATCAACTATTATTTTATAAGATGTTATTGTTAAACAAACCGCAATCTATATTTTCGAGGACAACAAATCCAAAGTTGACATTATTTTTTTTAATTTAACCTCGTATAATCAAACGTATTACTTGTATTATTTTAAGATTTTAAAAACGTAATGTTTTTTTTATTTTATAATTAATTGTTTAATTTTATTTTGAAAATATTTTCACTCCATGATACGTAAATATACCTATGATTAAAAAAAGATGGTTTGTATTTTAATGGATTTAATAAACAATAAAACTGGATTTTTTAATGTACAAATGGTTATTTTATATTTTTATCACATATTAACTACCTATTTAATAATTGTTGAGCTATTATAGTTACATACTAAAAGCTAATAAAAAAAAAAAAAAAAAAAAAACTACCTATCTATGTAGATTTAATATGACCGAATCTGATAATGCGCAAAACATACGTAATATATATAATATCTTTATTGTCATTTTTTTCTAAATAACTTTAAATCCTTACTTCTACATTTTCTTGCGCTTCCTCGGATAATTTACCTTGTATATAAATATTTTGAGAAATTACTATAATATTAGGTATATATTTTACCAATGTCCCGAGCCTCGCGCTATTTGTAAGTCACCTGTAATGTATATTTATGAAATTGTTATTTTCTTAGTCCTAATTTTGCGATTTCATGACATACGAGTATAACATTCACAGATGTGTATTGAATTTTTTTCACCTATAGTCAGATACTTACTTACCCGCTTTAGTAGAACAGTGCGAATCCAATTGGTTTTGCGATGACGTGTGCCATTATTTTGATTGTGTGTATTTGTTATCACGCTTAGGAAAAGAAAAGTTTACTATACAATACGTTACGAGCATCAAAGATCAACAATTTTTTGATTTGTGGTAAACTAACGAAACCCATAAAAAAACTTAATGACTTACGCAACACTATAGAGTTTAGGATAAAATCGAATTTCGTTTTTTCGTGTCTTAGAATTCGAGACCGCCGTAGAGATGTAGATTTGATATTTTAGCTAAATATTTGTAATAGTATTTCTAGACGACCAGACTTAATATAAATTTTTAC